CACATTAACATACTGTATAATTTTATCGCTTTTATGATCAGTGTATTTTCCAGAAGGCCTGTTGCATATTTTGAAATATGCATGCATCCTGTCATATAGATGCTGCTATACATTCAGATCTGTTCAAATCTTGTGAAAGAATGCTTGATGGAATCTGAGACCTGCTCTGGACTTCAACATAGAAATTAATTTCTCACAGAGAGCAGAACATGTAGTTGTTTAATAACTACTGAGTAAATTACATATGACAAAATCTTTATTCCTACATATAATAGCTCATAACTATTAAGTCTCATGCACACAGAGGGAATTTATTTAGCTGCAGCTAAGCTCTGTTTGTCACTCTTTTATAACCCATGTTTTGAGGACTTTCATTAATGCAATGATCCTTTATGCCAGATGAACTTGGGCATTCCAATCTCTTGTCCCCAGCTAAAGCCAAGGGACAGCTGGAGGAGTGCTGGGACATTCTGGAAGGCATGTTCATCAGCAGTCACCAACACCTGAGCTTTGACTTCATCCCATGAATCATTCACAGATTTTCTTAATCACAGAAAATAATTAAAGCATTGGATACCTGAAGGCCACATAGTCGAGCTTGCTGTTTGGAGATGGTCCATCACCAAGACTAGATCATAATGGACTGATATATTTTTTATATTGAGACAGGAGAAACAGAAGAATACTGGTAGCATGTATTTTCTACTTTTTTAACAAATATTTTCATATTTCTTCTGAGCTACAGTTCAGCTACACTGAGAAACAGATGCAGCAGGCTATTTACAGTTTGTCTGTTGTCTGGTATTAGTTTTTAAGATTCTTGGAGCCACTTTCTGTGTGTGGCCAAGACTAGACAAAGCACCTGTTTTACAGTCCAGTGACAATCTTGGAGGTGTACAAGTAAAGCATGGTGGTTTTTTTACACTTTAATGGTAAAGAAGAGAAACTTCTCTGCATTTTCTGAACACTTCAGAACTTTTGTATTAAATGTCAATCATTCCCAAAGAAATTGTTACCATAAAGTTTTCCTCACTTTAAAAAAATACAAATGTTCTACTTCTGGTTTTGTCCAGTGAAGCTAAAGAGAAAAAGGTATCTCAAAATGGTAAATGCAGTCATCCTTTAAGTTTGCTTTTGGGTTGACACAATAACTATGCTAAAAGCAGTAATGGGAAAATCCAAAAGGTTTTGCTGAATGTAACAGGGAAGACTTTGATAAGGACCTACTGATTTCAAGGTTAAACAAACTAAAACTGTCCTCCTCCTGAGCACTGTTGCAGCCTAGAGCTCCATTTCTAGAAGGGCCCCAAGTCCTTTCCAGGGTCATGAACACATGTCCATCTGATATGCATTTCAAAGAACCACGTGGAAATGGAGTCCTGATGAAAATATTCCTGTTGGTTGGCACTCCCTGTCCAATTAAGTCAATTCAGAAAACTGCCAGCAGAGTGGCCTAGAAATGGCTCCACTGGCACCAACTCTGCAAGTCATGCACACAGATGACGCAGACCTTCAGCACAATAATCTGATGGCAAAGCATGGTGGAATCAAACCATCACAGCTCAGATCACAAACAATATTCCTGAACCTAACTCCTGGGTGATGGAAAATTAGAGGGGATAAAAAAGAGGCCTAAAAGCACTTTGAAAAATGAACCGCATATATTTCCAAAGTCTCTAGAGCCACATAAGGCCGGAACTTGAACTATAATATTACAGAACTAATTGCCACAGAGCATTCCAGTAAGTCCTCAGAGGTTTGCATTATTCCCCATCAAAAAGGTTCATTTGAGCCTAAGCTTGCAATGCAGACTGGAATCCTGCTGAACTTGCACTTTCTTTAAGGATAATTTTCACTCTACCACATTCCTAATAGATAAGGAAGAACAATGTAGAACCACTTGCAAGCACAGACACCAACATTATCAAAAACTGGAAATATTTGCAGCATGTTGGACTTTTGTCATACAAATCACAGCAACCATGATAAAGTGAATAAAAAATCATAGTGCTTTTACTTATTTCCCTATTACATTGAATATTTAACTAAATCGATGTTATTAAGTCACCATGGGCCAGCTCTATCTCAAAGGCACTTCTACAAAAGAAGCACTGTTTAAAATTCCAAATATTCAAAAATAACTGTCAGCCTCATAAAATAAGTGGCCTTGGATCAAAACCAATGAGATGTTTAGTAAATTTGAGTTTTCTTTTCCTGATGCCCATTTTTAAAGTTTTTGGCTGCTTTCTTTCCAGACTTCTTTGTCTAATCCAGAGGGTCAAAACCATTTAAAACACTGGCATTTTAATATCATTTTATGATTCCAAAAATAGAGGATTAAGCCACATTTCCTGGATCACAGGATAAAATCTTGAGAACTGCCAATTTGCTATGAACCAGATGGTTCAAAGGCTGTTGTTTCACTGGACCAGATTCCCTAATGTGCTTCTGTGGTTGATTCTTTTTGAGTGTTACTGATGTCAAATTTAAGGTCCCTAAGATTGCAACTGGAATTCTCAGTGCCATATTCATCACGTAACTTGATGGGATGTACCCATGGCCAGTAGTCCCCATGACCTAAGAAATCCTGAGATCTGAATTCTCGCATCACTAGGAAGATATTAGAAGCCACATTTCTCAAAGCAGAATTAACATCACCACACCAAAATGCATTCCAAGACAAGTTATTTCACTGCGGCTAAATGAAATAAGGATAGAAGACGCCAGGAAAACAAACAAAAAACCCCAGCAAACCAAAGGCAGAAATGAATGCCTAGCCTATCAGTAAGCAGTCTGTCTAATGTGGGCACTCCTCCCAGAGCCTGTGCTCTGCTTGCCTCACTTGACTCACAGTAAACTCACTGTTTACTTTTCTTCTGCCTATTCAATCTTTTTGTATGTACATTATAACACTTCACTAAGAAGTGAAAATCCCCTCATGCCATACCTGCCTATGAATTAGGAAATCTGTAAAAAAGAGAAAGAAATATGATTGGAAAGACTGAATCTAAGCGTTCCACCTACTTCTTAACTGTTGTGCTAGAGGCAGGAGTGCAGTCTAACTTGTGGATAGCGTTTTAAGCGTCTTATCCAAAGTTAAATTTGCAGATCTACTAAAGGCCAACTAGTTCACCCAGGTGTTATAAAAGATCAACTTTAACCTTGCCAGCTCCAATTTAAATCCATGGTATTTTGTCCTTATCCTTGATGTTTGAAATGCATAAAAATATTTGATTACTTCCTTTTGATATCCTAGCCTCATTCTTCTCCTTCTAACCCAACCAAGGCCATTTCTTTCAATCTTTTCTTTTAGAACCTATTTTCCACATCCAGACCTACATCATCCTTGTTTCTTCCCTCTGTAGTGTAGGGTGTTCCTTCATGGGTAGCAGTCAAAGTCACAGACTCTGCTGCAACAGAGTAAATGAGCATTCTGCAAGTCTTACATAAACAAACTCTGGGAAACTTCCAGTATAATGTTTACATTTTGACAATTTTAAGAAATTATTTGCCACTATAAACTGACTCTTCATCCAGAACTGTTATTTCCTCAAGATCACTTTGTGCAATTGTTAAAAAAAAGCCAAAACAGAAAAAGAATGCTTTAATTTGAGAAGGAAAAAACACATGCAACCAAGTTTTAAAAGGGACTTGGATTCAAGGTCATGAGGGATGCACCTTCCCATTGCTCTGACAGGTATGTTTACACAATTGTATTGGATTTAAGGCATTCTCTCCCTCAGACTCTAAGCAGCATATTAACTACAATGCTGACTTTTCTGATTCAAGTTTATAAATATTTAATTCTCACTGGAGCATTGTTGAAGTGGTCTTGGATTTTACTGATGGCTGCTGCAGGAAGCCCCTACACAATTGCCAAACTTCTCCCATTACCTGAATCACATTGTAATTCATTAATGATAGAGTTGAAAGCAGCTAGGTAAAAAATCTGCATTTAATATAGCATTGTGTGTTCTCCCACCAAACCTGTACTACAGCACAGGTACCTGGGCAGGAGCAGAGCAGAGGAGTGGGAAGTTTGCAGGATGTGAAAAATGCCAATCACTTGTTTTTAAAATTTTAATAGTTGAATAGTAATAAAGTGGTTACAAAAATTGGAATATAATTAGAGTAATAAAAATTTGGACAATTAGGATTTAGGACAATATGAGACAATAAAAACAATGAGTTACGAACAGTCCAGGTACCTCTTTCTGGGCAAAATAAGCCTGAAAAAGGACACACATTAACAGAGGATTAACCCTCAAAAGCAATAGCCTGTTGCATATTCATACATCTCATACATGATGCATGAATTCCATTCAAACAAAGGATTCTGTCTGGTCAGTGTGAACTTCTTCCCATTAATCCTAATGGCATCTTCATGGCTGAGCAAGGTGGGAAGAAGTTCGTTTCTTCTGATAATGGAGCAATAAATTCATTTTGTCTGAAAGATTTAGGTGTCCTGTGGCTGCTATATCGGTGCGAGTCCTCTCTTTAAAAAAAGTACCCTCCATAGCACAGTTTCTATTTTAACATTATGTTATAACCTAAATCTATATTTAACATACTACTTAAGAAAATTAATACATCATAACTTTCTAACAAAACACACACAATCTTCATTTTAATATTTGCAAAACGCTAATCATAAAATACGCATTTTTCACACAGGATAAAGGGTTATGAGCAGGCATTGTCAAAGTGAGCTCACCTGCCTGAGCATGCAGACAGCCGGGGCTCTGAGCTGCGGGCTCTGACCCCAGGCAGTTCCCTCGACCCTGCTGTGCAGGTGCCAGCGGCACCCGGAGTGCTGTGTCCACTTCTGGGCTCCACAGTGCAAGGGAGCTCCTGAGGCCGGCCCAGTGGAGAGCTAGAGCTGGTTCAAGGGTCTGGAGCAGGTCTTCCATGAGGAAAGGCTGAGGGGTGGGCCTGCTCAGATGACTGAGATGACTGAGCGGGGCTCATCAGTGTGTATCTCAAGGGAGGGTGTCAACAAGATGGATCCAGGCTCTTCCTGGCGATGCCAAGCAACAGGACAAGAAGCAAGAGGAACCGATACACAGGAGTTCCACTTAAATATGAGGAAAAATTTCTTTATTGTGTGAGTGATCATGCATTGGGACAGACTGCCCCACCTGAAGACATTCCAGAACTGTCTGGATAGAATCCTATGCCATGCGCTCTGGGATGACCCTGTTTGAGCAGGGAGGTTGGACCAGATGCGCCACTGTGGTCACTTCCAACCTGACCCATTCAGTGATTCTGTGACCCAGGAGAAGACGGCACACAGCAGCGGCCGCAGGAAGGCCGCCCGAGCCCTCCTCAGGCAGCAACAGCCGCTCTGAGCAGCCAAGCAGGGTCGCCTCACGGCCGGATGCCAGCCGCCCTCGCCACGCCGCCGTACCCCAGCAGGCCCGCGGTGGAGCGGAGAGAACCCTCCACATCGGAGAGACTCCTCCACATTTCCCACCACCGCCTCCCCAGGCATTCGCGAGCCGCACGCGCGCTCCGAGGCCAGCAGGGGCGGGAACGGCCCCGGCTTCTTCCGCCCGCCGCGCGCATGCGCACCGGCGCCCCTGCAGCAAGCCCCGCCCCCCCGCCGCTGGAGCCGCTGGGCGGCGGGAGAGCGCGCGCGCGCGGCGCGTCTCGGAGCGGCACGTGACATGGAGGAGGCGGGGACGGGAAGGGAAAGGTCAGCGGCGACGCCGGCGGCGGGGGGAGCGGAAGGTCAGGGCGGCGCGGAGCGGAAGTGGGAGCCGGAGCCTCGTCCGCCATTGTGGGGAAGCGGAGCCCAGAGCAAGGGGGGGGAAGCGGCGCTGCGTCCGGCCGGCCGGCTCCTTCCAGCGGGAACCCGATCGGCGGCAGCGGCGGCAGCAGCGAGCCCAGGCGGCAGCGGCGACAATCAGGCGGCGGCGGGGAGGAGGCGGCGGAGGCGAGCGAGCGGCCCCGGCGTGCGGAATCACTCGAGGCCCAGGCGGAGCGGAGCGAGGGGATCGCGGCTCCCCGTGAAGAATGTCAGCCACCAGCGTCGACCAGGTACCGCCCGCGGGGCGGGGGGGGCGGCCGCCCCCTCTCTCCTCATCTCGGCCCCGTCGTTACCCGCGGCGGGGGAGGGCGGCGGCAGGGCGGCCACCTGCACCTTCCCTCGCCGCCGGGGCGGCGCGGTTCGCGGCCTCCTCCTTCCCTCCTTCCTTCCTTCCCTCCCTGCTTCCCTCCGCGTCGCCATGGGGAGCGGCTGTCCGTCGCCGCCGGGATGGCGGGCCTCTCTCCCGGCCGGCCGCCCCTATTTATAACCGCTGAGCCGCGCCGGGGCCGCTCCGCCTCCCCGCGCTCCCGCCCGCAGCGCCCGCCGCTGCCGCTCAGCCCCGAGCGCCGGCCCGGCCCCCGCCCGCGGCCCCCTTTGTGTGTGCCCTGCTCGGGAGTCGGCCCTTCCCGGCCAGGCCCCCGGCTCCCGGTTCTTCGCTCCGGGAGCGCCCTAGGGCCCGGCTCCCCGCGGCGCCCGGCGCCCGCTCCTCTCCTTGCGCGCCCCAAACTCCGCCAGGCTCCCCGTTACCGCATCCTTCCTCGCCCTGCCTTGCGCTCTCCTCGCCCACCTTTCTCCCTTCGCACCTCTGACTTCTTTTCTCTCGGCCTTCGCTTCTTCCACTAGTTCTCAGTTTTTCTCTTTGCGCTGTGCAACACTTTTTTAAACTTGGTCCTTCACAGAGCTTAGAATTTGTTATTTTTTTAACCTTTGCTAGGCCTCTGCTGGTGTTTCTTTCTGGCTGGAAGCTGTTCTGTCTTGATCTCTGCTTTGTCCGTGGATTTCTGCCACTCCCCAAAAGTTTTAGCCCTGCAGTCCCTTGCCTCCTTTTATTTTCTCTCTGTGCCTTTAGTATTCTGGCTCTTTTGTCTCTGTGCATGCTCTCCAGTTTCCTTTAAGCATTTATTTCTAGCTCAGTGATCTCTTAGCTTTTCATTGTTCTGTCTTTCATGAAGGCTGCTTCTTCCCAACTTTCTCTAGTTCTGTCTCTTGTTGGCCTTTGCATGCCTTTGTGTCTGGATTAGATTCATCCCAAAAGATGAGGTGGTTGGGGTTTTTCAGGTTACAGAGATTTTTCCCGTTTTGGGAGAGGACAGTGTCTAACCAGTGCACGTCTAGGTGAAGCAGCGTTGAACAGTTTTATGGTAACTCTTGAGACAAATGCACATGAAAGTGACTTGGAGGTGGTTACCTCCTAAAGTTTCAAACCTCTGAATACTGAGTTCTTCAGGACTAAAAATTGTTAAGAGACTGACGGAGCCTGGAGAACCACTCCTGCTTAGTTGAAAGTAATGTGAGAAGGTGAATTAGATTTTCATGGACTAGCATTTGTTTTTTGATGTTAGTTTATCTTGCTGTAGCGGAATTAAGGATACTGTAACTTGTAATGTTACATTGATTCTTAGTGCATGACAGATTAACAGTGTTTTGTAATGACTAATCCCAAAAAAAAAAATCCTCCTTAAGGAATTATTTCCTTGTGTGAAAGCTTTGTACAGACTGTATAATTTGCTCAGTATAATTGCCTAGGTGAGGAATGCACAACTTGAAGTTCAGCATATGATACAACTGTGTTCCTTTGTATAGCTAAAAAGCAAGGCATTGTATGTTATTCTCTGATAAGTACCTGTCAGTCAGTTTAAAAGATGACCTATCATAGTGAAATTTGAGTATTGGCAGTAATCTTAAGGTTCTAACCTTTTTTGTTAACTCTGTTATTTTTGTTTATTGCAAATGCTTTTTCAGGCCCCGGGGCAATTAAAATTCACTTGTTCAGCTTTTCTGCACCATTTAATCTTCATATGCTGATGAATCCTAGATGATTTCAATAATTTCAGTAAAATTCTATCAGGTTTTGGTTTTGTAGTATTTTGTAATGTTATTTTAAGTAATGTCACAACATTTTTATAATAGCATGGTTTGGTAATATTTTCAAGTGATATTTTAGTTGGAAAGGGCAGAATTGGCAAATAAATAGAATTACAGTGAAGTTTATATTGGAGGATTCTAACTGAACTTGTTTTGCTTCCCCCCCTCCCCCCCACTTTCCTATATACAGAGACCTAAAGGACAGGGAAATAAAGGTAAGTTAACCTTGTATTTCTATATAAATCTGTAATATTGCTTTTATGGAGGATAATGTCTGGCAGTCATAGCAAGAGGTTGTAGCTATAGGATGTCTTTTATTTCAAGCAGGATGACAGTAAATTCTGTGCCAAAATGTTACTTCCCAGCACTTTTACTGTGGCACAGCAGTACGTCAGTTTACAGTGTGTTATTTTGCAAAAGATTAATGTCAGAAGTCAGACAGTTAAATAGTCATTTCGTTTTAGCTGCCTTTGTGATATGCTTGTATAATCTCTTCTTAACAGTACACCTTGGGCCTTTCTGTGTAGTGACTAGAATCATCAGGAAGAATCTTCTGAACAGCTTCCTTAGTTTGCTAGACAGCAACCATGTGACTAGTTACTCATATCTATGAGCAGAAAACATCACCTTCCTTATTCTCTGAATTTTTGTAGTCTTGCTTCATTTTAGCACCAGTAACTGATTTTTTGTCTGTGTTTGTAACAAGCCTTCTGCTTTTCTGCTTTTTAATGTTTCTGTCAAAGTCTTAGTTTTTAAATACCATACTCAGTGGGTTTTCTTTCCCACAGAAGGATAAAACTACTAACTACTTAATATTCTTCTCTCTGAAATTCTTGGCAAGTCAGTTGTAAACAGCATTTCAGATTATATCTTGCAGTATTTTGTCTGGAATTTATTTTCTCACTAATATTCTTTTTGGAATTTCTTACTGCCTAAACAGTCCACTTTGTACCTATTTAATTCTTAGTTGCTCAGCAAACTGAGCTATAGAGTAGCATGCACACAGTTACCTCTGTGTGTTAATATGCTTGTTATACTTAGGCAGATAAGAAACTTCTTTTTGAGCTTGGGTACTCTTTGCCCCTCTTAGTTCATTATCTGAACTAATTTAATTGGTCTGTGAGCTGTCATTTAATGTTATCCACAGCATACTTATTCTATTATTCTGTCTACGTGCAGATTATCTGCTTCTTGTTACATGTATTGCTTGTGAGGTGGCACGTGGTTCCCAGATCTCATTGAGTTTGGCTGTTCTTTTTAATTTCTCTGCATTCAGAGAAAAAGGAACACATTTATCTCCTCCTTAGTTTGGTCGTTCTTGAATACTTGTTCTCTCATATTCTTTTTTTTTTGTCCAAAGTGCACTAATTAACTACTTCATGTTTTTGAAATAGTTTGTGGTTATAACCTTCCATGTTGCCCTTAAATGAGAAGAAAAGTCAGACTCGTTGTAGCAAATAGTTTGTGGCTTCACAATCTTTGAATTATCACTTCTCAGTTTTAGACAGGTTAATTAGATGCATCTGTTAGAGAGTCACACAGGTAGTTTTTGAACTGTACTCTATAAATGTGACTTGGACTGGAAGTATTAAGCATTTCTATTTGGGTGCTATGTTACAGTGTGTGAAAATGCACTAGTCAGCTTTACTTTCGCTTATTTATGTTAGCATATTTTTGTGTTCTATAATTTGTCACTGCTGTGGAATGTTTGACTCAAAACACATCTCTGCTTGCTATGTAAGGAAGAGATTTTTGCATTTCTGAACTTGGATTTTTTTTGGACTGCATCCTTTTAAATAATGAATACTTATGATATAGTCTCTTGATGAGAGTATGACCTGAGTGAAAACTATAGTGAAACAGAACAATTAATCTGTTCTGTGAAATTATTTGGTGTAATGTCTGCTTAGTGAAACTAAGTTATGACTTAGCATTAGATTAAAGGCCTAGGAGATTGTGCTAACATCTTCACTGTAGCACAAATTGTTGGCTTTGGGCTAGAGGCTTTTTCAAGTGGTTGAATTTAGTCAGTGTCAGCAGTCCTTACTGACCACATGTTAGCAGCCAGTAGTCTTTCAGTTGTTGTGATAGGTTTCAGCTTAGAGGAGCTCTGAGGGAAGATGTGATACTGAGTTAACAGACCAGTCTGAGGGTGGTTCTGTGCATAGGAGAAGAGTAGTAATGTTAGGGAGGATGGCAGAAGCTGTCCACATCTGGTAGAGCATGTGAGAGAATGAATGAGCAGTAAAAGGGGTGAATACATATTTCATATTAAGATGAAAAATATTAGACCTGAAAATTATATTGGTAGGTAGCTGATTTTTTTGTCTAGTAAAGTGCCTTGAATGCTTTGTTCTAATTGCTCATGAACTGGTGTGCTGTGCTGTTTCCTTCAACCACAATTTGTGGGACTGAAGTTCCAGTATGTAGAGCAGTACTATCTATCTGTTGTGTCAGATGTTTGTGTTGGTATTTCAGAGGCTTAAATGATTATATCTTCCTGTCATGAAACTTTACTTATTCTAATTGTCAACTACTGTACAGTTCACGTAAAATATCAGAACTGGCATCCACCAAATTATGACTTACAGGGGTGTGAAGAAAAAAGGCACTCCTGGGACTCCTTTTTGGTTTTCCTCCCTTTTGTTTATTATGCCAGTGTATCACATCTGTCATAGGAAGGTGCTGACTTATTTTGACACTTGTGTGTGTAACAATTTTTTGTTTCTTAGGAGGCTTAAATGTAATTATTAGGTTTAAAACAAGAATGAAATATTTCATGTTTCTTTCAGTGTTTATGCTTCATTTTAAGGTGTGATGACTTCTAATGAAAAGTTATTGTACCTTTGGGTATCATTTTTTGTGTGTGGCTATTCCGAGGATAGTAGCAGTTAAAATAATATCAGCTTTAAGTTCCTCTGCTTGATGAGTTGCTTCTTCCCAATATCTAATTACACTGTATGTTTTCACAGTGTTTGCAGAAACATACAGTATTTTTAGCATCATATTGATAGAGATATTTTTAGTATCTCTAGATTAGTTTCAATTAGTATTCTTCATCACTGCCCTGTTCAGTTGGAACACTTTACATGAGATTTTTGGGAATGAGGCATTCATTTG